AGGTGGGCTCATGGTCACAGATTCAAAAACGTACCCTTTCCATACCCAAACCCATACCATGCTGCACCCGCCGCGCCGCACCTCGCCGCTTCAACGGGAATGCAAGATGAAAACGTTATAAAGACGTACCTCTTGCAAAAACTGCATTCTGTGCGAATACTATGAGATTTTGTAGAAATGGAAATAACAATAGTTTAGAGTTAGGTATTATTTAACATTTATTGTATGTTTTATTTTGCCCACTACAATACTTAATCAAAATTTAAATAATCAGGCGAGACTTCCATAACTTAATCATATATAAGTTTTGTTGTATTAAAATTTGTGACGATGCATTTTTGCGTTCTAATGATTAAAATTGTATTTTACAACAACCTTCAGTTAGTTAATAAAAACATAAAATAGCCTAGAATAATTTACAATATATTAATAACTTTACATATGTAGAAAAAGTTAGACATTTTTCTCACGTTGTGTAGTAAATCGTAGATTCCTACGTCCAAACTAGAGTTATAAAATAAAATGTAATAAAATATCTAATTTAAAAATGTGTTCATAAACCTGATACTGTTAGGCCTATAACAATACAACATAAAAAGGGAACTGGGTATTATTTTACTGCAGCAATAAAAAATACAATAAAAGTAAGAATGGGCATAATTTAGCCTATTTGCAGCTAACTTATTTATTGCACCAATTAAAAAAAACTACAATTTAAGTATTAACAGTTATAATTTATGGTCTCCATTAATGCAGCTAACAATAAAATATGACGCATTTAGGCTCAAAGAAACTTTGGTTACATCACAAAAACCTAAATAGCTCACAGTAACAAACTTTGGTTATGTCAAGTAACAAAGGCTATGTTTTTGTATTTTAAATTGATTTTGCTTTTAAAATTTTATTTATTAAAAATAATAGTTGAATCGTAAATGGAAAATTAGTAAGGTATGTTTTAAGACTAAAATCTTACAAAAATATAACACAAAGAGATAATATGACTGAAGTGTCTAAAAAGTTTACATTAAAAAATGTCGATTCATATAGCCTATTTGTTATTTTTTATTTATTTATAGTCTGCGTAAGGAAATTTTTTAGAAGTTCGTATTGTCATCTAGATTTTCACAGTTTTCATGGCGTTGCAGCAGTAGGAGGGTATAATATTTTGCAGTTACAAATACACTATCAGTTTTGAACACACATAAAATATATTGTAAAATATTTTAACTTGACTTGGGGACCTATGCACTTTTATATTCGCCTAATTAACTTAAACATTCATCATTCGTGTATCCGTACAAACCGTACAAAACCTACAGCCTTCTCCAACTTATTATAAATAAAATTATGTACCCATCAACGGTATTTCTAAAATGATGTTCCTATATTCTATCTCTATAAAAATTATTATATAAGCCTAGTGATACAAAATTAGTAGGCCTATACAACTATAAGGAATTGTAATATCGTTTTGGAGGGTTTTAGCGCCAGGCGGAAGCACCAATACGATTGTGGCCATATAGCGGGACGGCAGTTTTGAGCCCCCCCCCCCCTCCACCAATGATAAGATATTCACCCCTGTTTTTAATGCGCCCACAATCTATCAACGAGACAGCCAGACAGATCTACCTGCCAGGCCCTACTCCAAGGTCTTTTAAATGGGCCAGGCTGCTACGAAACAATATTAAGTTATTGCTTACAAAATAACAAAACTTCTCCTCCTAAACCTAAGAGACCAAGCTGCTAAAACAATAAATTGTGTAAACCAGTATTATTCTACACCAAAGTAAAAATCAACCGATTTTACATTAAAACATTAGTGAATTGTAAGCAATAATAGTAATCCAGATTTCCTACCCATCTTATTTAACCAGTATTTATAAAATTTTCTTCCATGTATTACTTTTGGTGTATGCCATGTTTGATCGGTAAGGATTAATTGAATGAAATTGCAAATGTGGTTTACATTGTTGTGAATATCACTTCTAGTTGTTTGATAAAATCAGGTTAGAAATATAAACTAATGTTAGATAGTGCATAACATCTTTCGCTGCAGAATTTCTCTCTTTTTCGTTCCATTTTTTATTTACATAATTTCTAGTAAAACTATTGTGGCCGAAATCGAGAAAAACACCAGTGGTTACGATGACCACCATTTGTAAAAACGCACGCCAAGCATAAATTATATTTAGCCTACCATATCTAATTACCTAGGTACTCAATTTTCATTTTAAAACATAAGCACATTCTGAGATGATTAGGGAATGTTCATTTACAACTTTGCGCCTTGCAGCATAGCATGTATGTTTAACCTAATTTTTAGTTTATTCTTTACATTTAATAGTGTTATTTTATTATATATACTAGAGCCTACTTTAATATTTTACCTAGCATAATGTGTAGGAATATCTGTATTTACGTAAGTGATCAGAACTGATTTACTAGAGTGATGAAAATAATGTTTACAGGTTATTATAATTTTTATTGTTATTATAAAGTTGCAAGTTATTTCAACCGCTTTGAATTGAACACAGTTGTCTCAGTATACTGTACTCGGGTACAACATCAAAGTGTTGGAGAGTTGGAGACCTTTCCTCGGCCATCCTGGGTCTCCTTCATTTAGGACATTTAATAAGTTAATAATCGAAATTTTCCTCGTGTATTAAAGTTTTGAATTATTAGGTCTTACATTTTTGTACATCAAACTTTCTTCACGCGTTTCCAATTTCAATGCAAATTTATGTGCTTTTATATTCATGGTAAAAATGATCTTGTACACTAATGACATTTATAGAGTTAAACGTAGCCTATACAAAATGTTAGACACGAGGTTTTTAAAGTGGTAGATAAGGTACAACTTGTGTGCATACGGCTTTTGTTAAAAATTAAGATAAACCTAATTAAATTAAAAAATAACTAACGTATACCTTTTTGGAAGTTTTGCTGACAAACGTCATACAATTACCCTTTCATACATTTTACATTTTGTACAGGGAGGAACATTTTAATTAATTAAATGTCTTGATGGGAAGAATTAAATGATATTTAGGCATATAGCATGACACGATAAAATTATACTCCACCACATTTAATGAAGGAATTATATTTTTGTTTAATTACTCTCAAATTTTTGGTAACATTAATTGAGTCGTAAATATTCCAATTGAGTTGAACACAACATACATTGCTCTCGCCTACATAAATGTGGCCTGGTAAATATTGATTATGTTGTTAAAACAATAAAAATATGCCTGAAAAATTATTTCTTGTAAAAACCTTTTTAACAATTTGACCCAATCAAATATGAAACATGACATAAATTAACTAGTTGGATTGTGAAATTTGTCGATAAAATGTAAACAGATTCCTAGTTGGGCGGAAAGGGGTAGAAGGAGCCGGCAAGGCTGGGGGGGGGGTAATGTAAGTCGTAAGTTAGTTTGAAAGTAAGGGCAAAGGTAGGCGGGGGGGGGGGGGCACATGTGCCAGTCAATAACGTAAAACTACCCCTCCAACGCAACCTCCGCCGCGCTACAACGCTACAAGCAACGATGCACTTTTGCTTCCACGTGTTCCGCGTTCCGCTTCCGGGATTGTAAACGAACGGATTTGGAATCTTGGCGGTAAAATTTAAACGTGCGAAAAATAATTAAATTTATTCTCTTGTGGAATAGGCTAAGGTGATGTTTGGAGGTTGAATTTAGCTTTACAATCTAGCATTCAGATTGTCAGATGATTTTTTGGCTTGATACAATTAATTGAAAATACGTTTTTAAGATAGTTAGTTGAAAATATACGAGTAGTTATATACTAGCTTAGATTTCAACTGCGATCGTATAGGCAATAGTACTTTTGGTTTCAAAGATTTTAACAACACTAATTTGTCATCGCATTACTCTGACAGCAGTCGTTACAGTAATAAATTGTGCTTATGATAAATGTTCGTGCGTAAATTGCCTAATATCAACAATCATTAAATATTATTGACGCCATCACGTCTACGATACACGTCATTAAACAAATGTAGGAAATTACCAGCGTACGTAAACGCAATATATTCTATCCAATTAAAACACCAAGCTACATATATCTCCGACAGAAACGAATTTAACGAGTAAAACTCAATCAGAAGTCGACAAAAGCGTAATTCAATTCTATCCGAGCCTGAGAGCGAAGTTACGAACGTAATTATACACGAATATATTTTACCGCTAATAAGATTTTTAATAAGATCGCGGGAGACTGGGTGAGGGGGAGGCGCAGTAAAAACGACACAATCAGAAAAATAACGAGCCTCGCGTTCAATATTTGATTAAAGAAATTCTATTTATTTAACGAGATTTAATTAAAAACAGCGTCGTTGGAGAAGATCAATGATGGAGGGCGGGCGGTCTGTTTATCACTGATAAGAAACGTTACATATCTCTGATAGGAGCGGAATAAAGTTAAATTGTACGGTCAATCCATTATATCACAGATGTTATTGGGTTTATCTTTATTCCCCCGGCTGAGTGCGTGCCGTTAAAATTTAAAGGTTATCTTAAAACATAACTCTACTGACTTATTTATATCGCAGGGTCGGAGGTAAACAAGTTTTGTTATTGTTATCGCTCGGTTATTATAATAAAGACGTCTTTGGTAGTGTATAGGGAGAGTGATTGCGTAAATGAAATTACTGTAGAGGAGATAACCGGGTCGGAGGTTGGGGTTCAGGCCTACCACATTTTATACAACTAGACTGTAGAGATCTGGCGTTAACGTTAATCTACGAGAGCTTTTTGTTACGACTACGCTTATAACGGAGGCGGTTTTATTATATAGAATTAGTGCCACTATAAAATGCTTTACTGCTGATAATATAAACGAGGTTTATGGGGCCCCGAGAATGATAATTTATTATTCTAATCGTAAAATACTACTTCACCACTAGCAACTCGACACAACAGTCGACAGTCGACCACTGATCACACTATCACTAGGTTATCACTAATCACTGTACTCACCCGTTCCTCCTCGCGGATCATCTCGGCGATGCCAGGCTTGATCTCACAGTCGTCGGCGGCGGAGGCGGCGGATTGCGGTGGAGGCGGAGGTGGCGGCGGGGGCAGACTCAGAGCCATCATGGGGTTGGGTCCCCCAGGAGTCGCGGGGCCCGGGGTCGCCGGAGGAGGCAGTGACGAGGGTGTAGACGGCGAGGTGGTGACCAGCTCCAGAGCCTCAGAGGCGTCCTCCGCGGGGCTGGAGGGCTCCGCAGAGGCGCGACGTCGCTTCTTGGACGGTCTGTTGGGAGACATGCTCACGCTCTCGTCACCCGTCTTGGTCTCCAAGTCATGCTCGGAGTTGACGTCTGCCAGTCCGCGCACCTTGAGTGACTCTGCCACTTTCAACAACGGTCCTATCTGCTCCTGCGACACGTTGATCTCACCCTTGTACATGAACTCCACGACGGCCTTCAACTCCGGCCACTTGATATCCTTGAGGATGACGATGGGGTGTTGACAGGGGTTGTCGAAGAACAGCGCCTGGAAGTAGGGGCTGCAGGCTGACAGGACCATCTTGTGCGCCTTGACCGAGTGGCCGTCACAGGCGAGGGTGACATCCACGAAACTCTCGCTCTGCAGGAGTTGGTCGAACACGTTGGTCAAGTTGCTCTGGTAGTTGTTCCATCTGAGACAGAACTGCTGCGGCGAGCCGGCGCCTCCTCCGGGCCCGTAGTGGTGCATCCTGCAACAACACGACGCGGTTACTACGGTACAATACGAGAATACACCGGGACGTCCACACGCGCCGAGGACCTACGCTCGAATGGCGGGAGTGTGGCGCGCGGCCCCCCACCACGCCGCTACACAGTGACAGAAGGTCGAGTTTCCCTCGTCGCCCCCACCACGGCCCTCACGTCGCGGCGCGGCGAGCACCGCATCGCTTATTTATATAAAATGTACATGTAATACGGGGGTGTGAAACGAGAGGTCTAGTATACATAATGCATCCGTAGGCTCGGAGAAGTATTGATTTATTGACGTGTCGGTAGTGTATATTTACATGTGACGGTAGACGTGCGGCGATCTGAGTGAGAGAGAAAGAGAGAGGCTCCTCCCATCTGTGGGGCACCGCACCTCTGACACGGCCCCGACCCCCCGCAACACTCACAACAACACGACAAACCCACAACAACAACAACAACAACAGCAACAAATGTGTTAAACGGTTACTTACTGTAAAAGACAATACACTTAAGATGATAGTCAAAAGTGTAATCTGAAAACTTAAGAACAACCCCGGGAAAATGAGATTTTATAAAAATATGTTTTATGAATAGTAAAGATGTTTTATTGGAACGAGAAAATGCATAAGATATCATACCTCAAAAATAAACAAAACTTGCGAAGCGTTATAACAACTTACTTTATAAACGATTAAGAAATGTTGCTAGTAAATTAATTGCAATTATCAGTGGTAAAAGGTTTAAAAACTAACAAATTAGAATCAGTCGAATGGTTTTGCTCTACTCTTATGTCAGTTTCTTGTATGTAAGACGTACGATATAAATAACTTCTTGTAATCAATTTCAATAGACTATAAGGTGCGTTGGAAAAATTGGTCTTGGCGTTATTCGGTGGTTATTTTTACTTTATAGTTTATAACATTAATAGAGTTGAGTAGCAAAAAGTTAATTACCTAGTCGTATAATTCAAAATTTCGAGTAGGCTACATAATATTAATACAAAGTGCAACTCAATGTGAGGTCACACGCTTTCTAATTTAATCTCTTCTAGTTTTTAACACTATTTGTGCTGTCGACATGTTTGAACATAAAAGTTGCATTTATTTCAATGTTAAGCAATTGCGGGAATTCCCGTCATCAGCACCCAACGTGTTAAAGCATTTAGTATAATAGGCTATCCTTGTATTTCTTTAAAGTGTTCCCAGCGATCATAACTGAAAATAGTTGTGTACTGTAACTATTAGTGGAAGTAAACTACAGTATATGTTTCCTAATCAAACATAACCTGGCCTGAAACGGCAAATAACTTGACAAAAGCAGCTTTTGATTGAGGTATTATTACAGCTGATAATCAACACTCTTATCTTATCTTGATACTTAGAAACAAGTTAATTTACACCATAAATAGGTGTCCGTGTAAACAATGATTCAGTTAGAGGTTACGATTAGGAGTTGATATCACGGTTTTCTTATTATATTAACAAGTGATGTTTTTTTGTAATCGGGCATTCTTGTTTGGTTAAATTTGTTTTTAAATAGCATTATTCGATTGAATAATATGATTAAAGAAGGTGATTTGTACAAAATTTTTCAAGGTGATTTCAATGTTTTTAGTAGTGAGTTCACATTAGTACCTACATTATTTTCTTTGCGTTTACTTGTACAGTACTAGAAATATGAAACAAATCCAACTTGATTGCGTAGAAAAATGATTAGATTGATTAAATTATCCATCGAATGTCGCAATAATTGAACGGAAAACTAGGGAAGATTTGCTTTTTGTAGTCAATAGCCGGGATGAATATGGCAATCAACATACATAAATAAATGAGTGTCAGTAAAAAATGACCAAGTAAGAAAACCACGAGGTGTATGGTTTAACTTTCAATATCACCCAAAAACTTGAATCTCAAGATTTTCACAAATATAGGTTGTGAGGGGGTTTTAACTAGTGCAAGTATCTTCTGCACCTCTTTTAAAACTTGAAATTCACAAATTACTTTCCAACAAAGTGTATTTATCAATGGGTAGCTATATAGACATTTATTTGTCATATTGTGGGTTTGATACTGCTGCCCCCACTCCTACAGATCTACTTTACATTGTACACATGAGCTATCGCATCGATAACATTGGTGTTACTTGTCATTGGACAACGATGCCTACATGGCCGAAAGTTGAATAAACTTTACTTATCTGAGGCAAAAACAATGCAAATATTACACTGCTGTAATTGAAGTTACATTACATGATCAAAATTATATCACAGAAAATGTAGATAGAAAAAGTTATAATTGGCCAGTGAGAATATTTCTGCGTTAGCAAAATAACGTTAAGGCATAACGTAGTTGGCCTAGTCAAATGCATAAGTTTTGATACGTTTTTTATGGTATTTAATTTGAGTAAAAAAGCTTCTAACAGTTTCTGATGTTTTCGGAGAGCTCAATATTTACAACAAATTTATTCTATTTCGATGATCAATATTGTTAATAATTCGTTTAGTTTATATATGGGGGACTCTACAGTACTACGGTGTACGAAGATTTTTTTTAATTCCAGGAATCAAAGATGTTTGATATGATTGTGTAGCTATGTTTCTGACTAAGGTTAATTTATTAGGAGCTAAATAATCGAAGATTGCTGGGTCCAGTTTCAAACCATCAAAAACCTACTGTTTTTTTTTTTCAGAATCGATCTGACGACCTACAGAATTCTATACGAAAGACGAGCACTATAATTCACTTAGCAATTCAGCTATTGGCAATGAATACAATTGTATTCATTGCTATTGGGGAGTTTAATATAGGTTTGAATTTTCAACCACTAAAACACGAAGTAATGCACTTAAGAAAAAAAGTATATTTGTACATTTTAATTAGTAGGTAGGTCTAAGTGTTGAAAAGTAACTCCATTTAACCACTAATCAATCGACGTTTAGTATTTAAGTAAATGTAATAGTGTTAGGTAGGCCTACATAGGTTTTTTAGTTTTGTATATTATATTTTTTTTTACTTTAGACACATGTGTCAAACAAAGAGGGTGGATTTCACATATTAAGCTACGAAGTATGCTGGATATAAGTGGATACTGTACTTTGTATTACTCTAAATAAAAAAATAAAAATTGTGTAAGGTAGTCACCAGACTATGTTACCACAATGTAATACACCAATTTCAAATCATTATTACACGCCCCTTTGTTGTGCAATTTGTAAAAAGAATAACCACATAATCTAGACGAAAAAGTAAAAAAAAAAAAAAAAAACTAACAGAATTCACGATAGGTATCAAAGTTAAGAAAACTGATGTACAATTGGAACAAGACAATAGAAAGAAAAAGAATATTTTTATACATCTTTGCAATTCGTTTCGCAAAATAGCTAAGTATTTAAGTCCCAAACAAAGTAATGCAAAGTAAAACGACAAGTTTAAATAAGTTGGCCACCCAACACAACATATGGGCCTCGCTTGGAGACAAAGGCTACCACAACAATATGGCAGCTGTACGCATGACTCACTCTTACGTTATTGAATTTCATTAGTGCTTAATTCCATGCCGGGAGACCAACTAATATAATAACAAAGTACAGTCCCTGCACCAACCAAAGCCGTGCCTCGCCTTCAGCCGTTCCACACTACTCAGTAGAGTACTTGTGGCGCGGACTGTACCATTGTTTTATACAAGCCGCATGTCTCATTGGGAAGTTGATGTTTATGTTCGAGGTGTAGGGTGAAGTTTGTCTAAATATATGCAATATTTCGACAAATAATTAGTGGGAACGATTCTAAGTCAACATTGTGAAGGTGTTTTGCACATCTAGAAAGCATATCTTAAAATATAAATAATATGTTTGATGATAAGTTCGAAACAGCAACTTTTGCACGAAAAAAATAACTCTACGAAATGGTTGCGGGCGAATACATTTTTATAATGTAAACCGACTAGATAGTACTTAACATGAAATATAATTTTAAACGTGTGATAGTTTTAATCCAAATACGTCCTAGGTATAGGTAAAAATTATTTCAATAATAAAACATATAAGAGATATCAAAGCACTTTTCCAACTTTTTAGTTCTTATAGCTTTGAGATAGCCTATTACAGAAAGTGTGTATTGACCAAATGCAGTATATATTTTACGAGTAAATTTCACATGGATAAAATATGGTACGTATAAGAAAACAATTTTTCAGGTATGAATTACATTTGGTGGTTAGGCCTATCTTTATAAACGCTACAGTTTTATTTTATTCAATTTTATTTTGATTTGATTCAATTCCAATTTTTTGGTTCTAATAGCTTTGATAAAGCGTTCTGATTGATATTACAGAAAGTGTGTTTTGACCATATTTAGTGCATTTTGTACGTGTAATTTTCACATAGATAAAAGTTTGTATCATGTAATAGTTAGTAATAATTTTGTCAGTTATTAATTACAATTTGGTAATTATCTTTATCAATGCAACAGATTATTTCAATTTCTTTATTGATTTTAAATTCCACCTCACGAAATAGAGCACCTATTCAAATCACACTTCGTCAACTTTAAAATTCACCCCTTACACTTGGCTTCGTAAAATCTCGTTAAGAATTACTCTACAAAATCACCAAAAGATTTCCATAGGAACTCCAACGGAAGTGCAATACCACGTAGCCAACCTGTAACGCATGAACCGAACACCGTAAGCAACCGTTCAAAACAGCTAAAACGAATTAACATAACGCAATTAATGCGGTAAAAATCAATTACGCGCCCGTAGCGTCGGCAACACAGTAACGCCTCGTAGCGTTACGAGTACGGTGATAACGCGCTGTTCGGTGTTAACACAATATCGTTATAATCTTATAGGGAATCCCGTTATTTACTCGTATGATTAAAATCTAAAATTAGGAGGGAATGTCATACACAATTCTCATGCTCTTAAATTTTCTCAGGAGATTTATATTTTTTCTACTTTATACGTAAACACTGGTTAAGTGAAGGTTAGATAAGAGGACACTAAAACAGTCTCAGTTCAAAACGGTTTCAGCTCTGGACTGAAACGACACGATCACACGACCTCAGTGTGAATTTGTGTATAGCCGAGAGCGTGAGTGTGTGCGACTGTTAGGGAAACAAGGAACAACTATGTTATTAGCTC